CTTAGATAGAAAAGATAAAAAAGATAAATAGGTAGGTAAGGTGCAAAGAGTTGTAGTTGCAAGATGGTGGTAATAGTACCGTTTCCTATATCTTCTTCTCTATCTTACTTTTGATTGATGCTCCAGTTGAGGTAAATTAAATAGCCGATTCTACAGCAAAGGCAATCAAAGAAAGGATAAATAAATATAAACATGTGTAAATATATCCCTGGGAGGAGTGGAACAAGGAGGGTCTTGAAAGAAAATGGCAGGAAAAGGAGACCAAAGGGAAGCACTATTTTTTCTTTACATCCTCCGGTTAACAAAGTCAGTTATTGATTATATACTATTGATCTTGATTATTGATATAAATATTATTGGAACCCGAAGAGCTCGGACACTGCAGGTTAAATGAGTACATGAACATTATAAACATCCTATTGGATTATGTGAGCGTGGATGTCCTGAAACAGTCATGCATATTTTCCTGGAATATAGCAAATATAATACAGAAAGGAAAAGACTGTGAGACCTGGAAGTATTGTTATTTTCTACTACTATTGCACTATAAACCTACAAATACTTGTTTATATATGTATAACTGTACATAGTAGTTTATGTGTATTGTGCTGAGCTTGTTGTCCTGTTGATTTATGCTTCATCTGCGTTTGTACATTAAGAGCAACGTAAAGAGCAATGTAAAACCACCTTTGTATGTGTGCACATATCGGGCCACTAAAACGTGATTCTGGTTCAAAATCAGTTCTACAGTTCCTCCATGATTCAGGATGATAAACGTGAATATGTACCAGGTAAACGTGTTGTCCTGTGGAGGGCAGTGAGACGCCTGTGAGCGACCACAATCCTCCAAGAAGAAGAAGAAGAGTGCGGAACCTTCTTGATGTGTGTGCCTCCTGACAGTCCGAGCTCAGGGCAACACAGCCCCACGACGCTCGCTCGGTCTGTCCGGCAACTCGCCTGAATGAAAACACACCGGAGTGACGCCACTACGAGAGCAGCAGTGTTGTGACGAGAAAAACAAAAAACCATTAAAAAAAATAAAAGAGAAAACAACAACTTGCAACCTCACTCTGCGGGTTTTTTCTTCTCGGGTGTCCACGGTGTGCACATTGGAGCAGGTGCGTCGGTTACGGAGAGTCACCGTGTGTCTGTGGATAAGTGTGGAGCGGTAACACGGCCCGTGCTGCGGAGAGCTACCGACGTTATCCTGCGTCAAACTGTTGTCGAGTCACGTTTCTAGAAACTTCTGGTCTCGGTTTGCTTATGCTATCTTAGTGATTGGTGCTAGTTGTGCACGGTTTGTGTTGTTGTTGTTGTTGTTGTGTTTACGGTTAACGGAGCGTTTAATATAAACACGGTTTCATCTCGTGTTGATTAATAACATTGTAGTGACACAAAGAAACAAACACATTCAACATTTAATCCATCATAACAGAGCTAGCTGACGTTAGCATGGCGAAACAAATCGGCCTTTACTTCAGATAGGCTAGGCTAGGCTAGGCTAGCTGTCGTAATGTGATTTAATAACAACAACAACAACAACTGAACAAATAGTGGAAATAATAATAATAATACACTAATAATGTCACTTTCTACCGTTAATAGTTTAATTAATCACTAATAAGGATTAATTAAACAGTAAAACAAAAACATATTGAAATTATTTGGACAAATATTATAATTCACAATTAAATGGGAATTATCATTTTTGCGTAACAAATTGTTTTTTAACTGAAACAAATCTTTAAATTATGATATGAATTTCTACCAAACAAACGTGTTTTCTTAAATCTGGAGAACAGTTTTTATAGACGAGGTTAAATAGATATTAATAGATATTGATATATTGATTGATTGATTGATATCGTGTTTATTGAGATATTATTTTAGAGAAACTGTCCACAATGTGAATCAAATCTGAGCTCATCATCATCACAGCTCAGTTATCTGTGGGTTCAGTTTTACTGAGAATCACTAAACTGTATTTTCTATATTTCTTTACTCTCTCGTTCGTACTTTAAGTGTTTCTTTCTGCTTCTGCAGTTACTTTACTCGAGTATTCTCATTTTATGCCACTTCTACTCGATTACATCTCAGAGGCAAATGTACGTTTCTCTCTATTACATTTATCTGACAGTTTTAGTTACTTCACTAAAGTTAAAGTTAAAGATGAAGAGTTTCTTTTATAGGTTGAAAATTCTTCTTATTCCATTTTCGCAATATTACGACTTTATTTTTGCAAAACTAAATAAATAAACGATTTAAAAACCCTGAAACTGCTCCGTCATGAATCTGAAAACCGTTTGTCTGACCTTTGAATTCAGGACTTTAACTTAGTGTTTTTATTCCTCCGCTCAGGTTTTGGCAGGAAGGATGTGGTGGAGCACCTCCTGCAGACGGGAGCCAACGTTCACGCCAGAGACGACGGAGGACTCATCCCGCTGCACAACGCCTGCTCCTTCGGACACGCCGAGGTCGTCAGCCTGCTCTTGTGTCAGGGCGCCGACCCCAACGCCCGAGACAACTGGAACTACACGCCGCTGCACGAGGCCGCCATCAAGGGGAAGATAGACGTCTGCATCGGTAAAGATGTTTGTTTACAGTCAGCGCAGAGACTCAGTGTGATGCTTTAAGGACTCAATTAAAAGTGTTTGTTTCTCTTTCTGCACCTCTCTCTCTCTCTCTGTCTC